GATTGCTTCTTTCGGTGAATGACTTATAGGGCCTTCGCGACGCTCCATATTTCTACCACCATTGCTGCCAGAATTGTATAATGCTGATTCATCTCTCCTTCCAACTTCTGCACCCTCCTTAGTCCCAACCATTCTCTCTTGGTCTCCTGCGACTATTCGTTCAGAGCCAGATTTAGATCTATTTGACATTTCTCTCTTGTTATCTTTCTGAGTCAACTGTTCCGAATTCTGAGACTCCCTATTATCCAAGTCCATTTTGTGATCAGTAATATCACTGCCCATTTCTGCACTTCCATCGTTGCTTTGGTTCTCAGTTCCTCTTTGAGGTACCACAGTTCTTTCCACAGATGAGTGCTGGGGAGCTTGAGATGATATTTGCTTTGACGCCTGGTCCTCATTTACCGCAGGAGCCTTTGTAGCAGATCTTGTACCTCCAGCACTTCCTTCTACTTCACTTCCCTGTGCTGGTGGAATTCTGTTCTGCTCATAGAGTTCCAGCATTTGATTGCTAACTTCTGCAAGAAAAAATAGCAACAAGGATTGAGAAGAATATACAGAAGCATAGACACACAAAAGGACAGCCCATTGTTAAACTACTCAGCATTAAACTGGGTTCCCTAGTGAAAATTCCAAATTTGATTAGTAAACAGGGACAAAACCATCGAGATAACTGATAATGGCAGAAATCATATAATGCATTAAAACCAAGGGAATACAAAAGGCCATCCAATCAGATCAATTTTGTTGCATCCAAATGAATTGAGGGGATAACACCAACCCTCTAATTGACGTGGGGTGACATCAAACTCTTGCCACCAAACCTTCTCACCATCTGATGGAAGCTTCACTTTCAAGAACTTGGCAGCAAGGAAAATGGCACCTGCCGCAATATGATGTGGCTTAAATTGCAGGCAGAGCGATGTCCTCAGCCTGAAAGCCACTTTCCAGTGTGTGAACAATATACTTAAATAAATTTAACAAGGTTAAAATCAAACAAATGGCAACTTAATCATACCCATCATTAACAAAGTTCCACGCCACTTGAGCAAGGGCATTCTTAGCAACATTGAACTTCTTTATGGCCTCCACAAGAGGTTTATAAGGATGTTGAACATTCAGATCAAAAGCTAAAGTGGCAAGCACAACCCTCTCACCAAGTAAAATTAATTCTTTTTGTTGTTCATACACTTCCTGCATCGTTTAAGATTTCCATTGAACAAATATAAAGATATCAAGGGTAAAGGAAAAAGAACCATAATAAAAGAGATGTAAGAAAAGAAGTCGAAAAGGGACCATGTAGATACTTTACCAATATACAGCAGTTGGAGATGGAAACAGATCAACAAAAAAAGGGGAAAGATCATTTCCTTAATGATAAAATTTAGAAAATTTCCAGGCAACCAGTTCTTACTAATTATTAAGCACACAACTTCAAAAAATAAACTTGGATACTATAAATAATTTACAAGGCAGATAAACAAGTTAGGGGATTTCAATATTCAGGACACATCGACCATGTTTGATATTATAACCTAGACAGATGGTGTTTTTGGCTATAAACTGACAGTTGGAGGGAGACACAGTCTTGAAGCAAATAGGAAAAAACCTAGTCCCTTAGACAAGTGGTGAAAGATGACAGACTGTGATAGATTTCAACTAAATCCTAAGTCAAAATGTTGACGTATAGGAGTGAACTGATCAAAACACCATCAGTAATAAAACACCTTCTGTTTAATCCTCTGTGCAGCTGCAGGATCCTTCTTATGAATGATCTCATAAGAAACAAGAATAACGTCCTTCAGTGGCCGAGGAGTCTCTTCAACCTTCCCAGCAAGGAACATGCAAACCGTTGCAATGGTCTGCAAAAAAGTTCATAAAGTGAATTATGAGATGTTGATTAAATAATCTTTAAAACTATACGGCTTTCACATCTACCATTCTCGTAATATAAATTTCGAACATAACTACATTTCCCTTACATCAAATAATTATAGAACTCAAATAATAAAGCACAGATGTTTTACGGATTTGACAGTTCACTAAATACAAAAGTTTAGGTAGCAGTTGGAATTCAAAATAAAATATAAGATACGACAGTTAAATGGAATAGTAAATTGAGATATATGATCAAATTTTCACAGAAATGTCAACTTCCAAGGTTTCAAATTTAGAATATTCATTCATCTTCAACTACAAAATGGAAAGATTGCATGTCCAATCCAGATTGCATAAAAAATAAAAAACCCACCTAAAATAATAATATTTTGCAAAAATGACAATATAAATTCTTAACTACAAATTCGTATTGAGAAACAATAAATCCTACACGCAGGTATACAGACATCTTCCAAACCATATATAAGTCCTTTCAACTTATGACCAATTCTATTCAGTATCAATACTCATTCTTCTATGTCCATCTCTCTATCATTTCATTCTTTCTGTTACTCTGCTCCCCCATGTAAACTTTCAACTTCCCAGAACTTTGGAAAATTTTCTAGGTTGAATGTGCACCCAAACCATTTTAAATATTGAGAGTAGTATATTATAGTTAGACATACATAAATCATAACAGCAGGACCTGTCCAGGAATAGTTATCACAATGTTTTGAAATAACCAAAAACACAGCTGACATATGAATAAACTCCAATTTCGTAAAGCCTGGGCTCTTCTTCTCCGCTATTAATTACAAGTTTCATCTAGAAAAATTTGGCAACGCCATAATTTCTAGGTGTTCATATCATGTTAGTTAGCTTTAATTCACTTAAAAAAATCGAAAGTCAAGCATATGCTTTTAAACAATAGAAACCAATATTATAGACAATAAAGATCTACAGATTATCTGCCAGCCAATTAAGGAAAATAATTCCGCACAACACAAACTATCTTCTAACTGGTCATATGATATTTCTATTAGTCTATGACACTTACGATGGCTATCCACAATCGCAAGAACACAAACATAGCAAACTAAGTTAAGTTGCAACTTAAACTTTGGAGAAGTAAAATTCCTACTACATAATATCCATTTGGAAGAGAAACAACCCACCCTTCGGTCGTTCTTTGCATGAGATTGTCGGAGAAAGAATCGATGACAAAATATTATGGCAGTTGCTATAGTTACCTGAGGCCTGCACAGACCAACATTAAATAGGATATAAATATTTGCAACATGGTGAAAATAAAAGCAACTGCATTCAAAATGCAATTAATATGTCTATCTTGCAAATACTCCAAATATATGATTATAAGATATCAACGAACCAAGTAAAGCAGAAAAGGATAACTAAATTGCAGAAAAAATTAAGCATATGTTCATAATGCTTTCATTATCTAGCATTGGTGGGGTATATCGTTCAGATCAACAGCAGTAGGAATGGTTTCACAAAAGAACATCACTGTTAAGAAATTGGAAAGAAAATAAGGTTGTGGAAGTGAAAAGGAAATATAGATAAAGTAAAACAACAGAATGAAGCATACATCCATTGGAGGAACCCACACACAAAGCAAGAAAGTGAATCAAGAAAGAAATAATTATTTATAATATCAGTAGCAGCAAACTCACACTTTAAGTCTCATGCCTAAATCCTGCAAGAATGTGCAGTATGACTTGCGCAGATATGTCTCTTTCTTCAAGTCAATCCCATCTTTTCTTGATGGGGAATGTTCCTCTATTTCTTTTCTAGACATATACCAGCGACCTAACGATTCCTCCTGCTTGTCTTTAGAACTTTTACCCGAGTTGCCATCAGATGGTCCATGATTTGGCAACTCTCCAGGCATAAGTCCTGCCATATATACCAGTTTTTCTGTGCACAGAATAAGTTCTGTATCATTTGTTCAACATCATGTAGCAGAAAGATTCTGGAAGACATAAAAATAAAAGAATTTCATGTAACTGGAATCATGAATACTATAAAAAGAAATGCATAAATTGTAATCCATGGTAAATCTTGTGAGGGAAGAAAAATGTAGGGCACCAAAGGATAATAAAGAGGATCTAAATTGGGTATTCAGATGTTCTCAAATTCTTTGCATCATGTTCAGCCTGTCACCAAGGTTGAATGGTCAAAACTGAAAGGAAAGCTATCTATCAATATAGTAATGAACAAGGAGCTTGCAAAAGCATGAGGATAAAACTAGAGCCAGTAGCTCCTTCGAGAGAACTCTATAAACTTTCTTCCTCTAAAAGAACTACCCAGCATTACTAAACCTCCTCCTGATGTACATCCAGCCTTTCCCCTACATGACAAGCATGGCATATCAGCTAGCTAATTAATTTCCTCTTACTCATTGTGCTTCCTTTTGTTATAAACCTCAAGATCCGCTGAATTCCTTTTGGTCTTAGATCCAGCAATTAACCCTTGCCCCTGTTCAGTCCCAATGGCTTAGGTCCAAGATCCAGGTTATCATCATCACAGTTTATACTTGAGTGCTAGCAGCACAGACCAGTTATAACATGAAGAAGCTCTGACTCTGGCACAAAAATGACGCAAGCACTGGGACACGGCCAACATCCAAAATATAGAACATGGGGACACTCATATCTTATGTATACAAATATACAACACGAAAAAAATCCAAAATTGAGAATTAAAATTTGTATAAATCACATTCTAAAATCAAGTTGTCCATTTTCATATAATAGTGACATGGACACACTCACCACTTAGATATACAAATATAAACGAGATGACAAAAGTATAAATTGAGAAATAAAATTTATATAAATCAAATTCAAAAATCAAACATGACCAATTTCCATATAATAGTGACCCTCACAAATACAATATTAAGAAACATATCTCTTATAACTTAAAACAACTAGTCATGTCCTATGGAAACAAGCCTCAAAAGAACTTTATGAGCCTTAACTTTATTTCCTTTTATTTCTTTTAACTTTACCGATATAAGTTTCTAAGAAGCATTTAGCCAATAATAGATGTCAGCTCACTCTCTTTACTTGTGTTCAACTGAGTTGGAAAGGAGGCCAAACTGTGTCAAAAAGGTGTCTGAGCTGGAAAAAGGTTAATAGCGACACAGATGAGGAGTGTCAAAGTCTGTCTAACAGGTATAGTGTCTGAAAAGTACGACAGGTTCCACAGGGGTATTAGTGCTTCCTAGATTTTAATTGTCACAGACAACACCAATTGATTATTTTCTGTAACATCCTAACTTACGGCCAAGACACAGGCACATTAAGCATGTGCAGTGATAATAACTAGAGTATGCTCTCTCAGATAGCAAATGCTTTGATTTTTTTTATGCTTAATATGTTCTCAGTTACAAATACCAAATTCTATTTGTTTATGTTCCAGTCAGCAGGAGTAAAAAATGACTGAAAGTTAAATAGGAACTAATTTGGAAAAATGGCATGTTTAGAGACAAAAAATATATTCAAGGAAAAATATTAAAAAAGCAAAAGATATTCAGTCCTTCTGACCTGTGGCATTTTAATGAGGTCAGAGCACCTAAATCCGTTATCCATTTAAAGCAAATAATAAAATTATTAGAATTTGGCTTAAGGCCTAACTCAGCTAATGTTATGAATAGTTAATAACAGCGTGAGCCAGCCAAAACTCTGGCATATAAATATTATGGATGCCACGGCTTCCTATGGCGGAAATTCATGGCAGACAAAAAAACACAAGGTGATTCCATTGTTTCGACAATCTTTGACAACAATTCCACCTTGGCACAATCTTGTATGGGCTTTAAATTGGACATGGGGAGCATAATTTTGAAATCGTGCAATTTCACATTTTTTTATCATGATTTTGACTACCTTGTCTAATTCCATCAAAGTGTTATACTTAAAGTTGAACTTATCCCGATAAAATGGACTTGTTAGAGGAGGATTGCCCGAGCTTTATAAGCTCTATTTGAGCCATGTCTCTAGTTGATGAGAGACTAAATACCAACATAAAATTTCAATTTAGGGCAGTCTCAAAAGAGGCTGCAATTACAGCGAGCTAGGAATAACTACAATTAAGAAGGCTTTCCAACAAAAACCTAATTCTTTTTAACCAAGGGGCAGCCCATAACCAGGTGTTTAAGGGGGGAGCAAAACAGTTCCATAATCCAGATCTACTTTTAGTGCCAAGCCATGCAACCCATTCACATGGCGAAAAGCATGCCAAAATCTAGAGAATGCAATCTCACCATGCCATGATGAGATGGTTTGCATGGTTGGCCTCCTTCTACACATAATGCGCACTATTAGGACCTCAGCCAACAAACATCCCACAATGCCATAATCTCATACCCCCACAGAAGCCTCGTCCAACACTATACAAATGCAACCTCATATATGACTCCCAAAAACCACTAACGTAAAACCTTCCAGTTCTCCCCTCTGTCTAGTCTAACATTAGCTTTTCTGGACGGGTAAACATCGACGATTCACTCTAGCCATCACAACCAGAAAGGAGGAGTTTTGGTCACAAGGCAACTTACCCAGCAAACCCAAAACCTAGTCCAGGCATAGGTTAAGGGCAAGAAGCACTAACAGCCCAAACGTACATAATACAATTAGGTTACATGATGGTTTGACTCCATTTAACAAATGATAAAAAGAACCCCATCTTGTATCCTCACATTCACACATAGAAAACGGCGAGATCATTCAAAAGAGGAGAGGACAACAAGAAAGCTTTAATTTCCCGTTCCTTACTGTTCATTTTTCACGAGTGAACCCTAATATGCTTTTCAAATCCAAAGAAACTGCAACATAACGAAAAAGACCCACAAAACATGTACAATACCAATTCAAAATGACCCAGATAAGTCAAGAAAACTAAAATTCTCCGTTTAATTTGTACAAAATGAGAGAAAGTGTTTAGTTTGAAAACGAGCAAAAACAGAAACATATGAGCGACAACCAAATTGGATGGCATTCCAAAAGGGTTTGAATAAACCAATTGATAAAAGTGAAATTAGGAGGGAAATAATGACGAAAAATGAAGTGAATTGGAAAGAAAATAGGGAAAGTGATAGATCGATCAAACGCGACAAACAAGAAAAGGGAAATGGAAAAAGAAAGAAAGAAAATCACAGCGACTTACAGATTGTAGAGCGACCAGGTGGAGAACCCTCGTCTTCCCAGAATCGGATGCAAGGTTTGTCACCTTCGATTTTCTCTCGCGCACTCACAGGTTGCAAGAACCCCAAGCTCGACGGTTCTTTGNACGCTATTAATTACAAGTTTCATCTAGAAAAATTTGGCAAAGCCATAATTTCTAGGTGTTCATATCATGTTAGTTAGCTTTAATTCACTTAAAAAAATCGAAAGTCAAGCATATGCTTTTAAACAATAGAAACCAATATTATAGACAATAAAGATCTACAGATTATCTGCCAGCCAATTAAGGAAAATAATTCCGCACAACACAAACTATCTTCTAACTGGTCATATGATATTTCTATTAGTCTATGACACTTACGATGGCTATCCACAATCGCAAGAACACAAACATAGCAAACTAAGTTAAGTTGCAACTTAAACTTTGGAGAAGAAAAATTCCTACTACATAATATCCATTTGGAAGAGAAACAACCCACCCTTCGGTCGTTCTTTGCATGAGATTGTCGGAGAAAGAATCGATGACAAAATATTATGGCAGTTGCTATAGTTACCTGAGGCCTGCACAGACCAACATTACATTAATATGCAAACCTCCAACAGAATTTTGAAAATAGGATATAAATATTTACAACATGGTGAAAATAAAAGCAACTGCATTCAAAATGCAATTAATATGTCTATCTTGCAAATACTCCAAATATATGATTATAAGATATCAACGAACCAAGTAAAGCAGAAAAGGATAACTAAATTGCAGAAAAAATTAAGCATATGTTCATAATGCTTTCATTATCTAGCATTGGTGGGGTATATCGTTCAGATCAACAGCAGTAGGAATGGTTTCACAAAAGAACATCACTGTTAAGAAATTGGAAAGAAAATAAGGTTGTGGAAGTGAAAAGGAAATATAGATAAAGTAAAACAACAGAATGAAGCATACATCCATTGGAGGAACCCACACACAAAGCAAGAAAGTGAATCAAGAAAGAAATAATTATTTATAATATCAGTAGCAGCAAACTCACACTTTAAGTCTCATGCCTAAATCCTGCAAGAATGTGCAGTATGACTTGCGCAGATATGTCTCTTTCTTCAAGTCAATCCCATCTTTTCTTGATGGGGAATGTTCCTCTATTTCTTTTCTAGACATATACCAGCGACCTAACGATTCCTCCTGCTTGTCTTTAGAACTTTTACCCGAGTTGCCATCAGATGGTCCATGATTTGGCAACTCTCCAGGCATAAGTCCTGCCATATATACCAGTTTTTCTGTGCACAGAATAAGTTCTGTATCATTTGTTCAACATCATGTAGCAGAAAGATTCTGGAAGACATAAAAATAAAAGAATTTCATGTAACTGGAATCATGAATACTATAAAAAGAAATGCATAAATTGTAATCCATGGTAAATCTTGTGAGGGAAGAAAAATGTAGGGCACCAAAGGATAATAAAGAGGATCTAAATTGGGTATTCAGATGTTCTCAAATTCTTTGCATCATGTTCAGCCTGTCACCAAGGTTGAATGGTCAAAACTGAAAGGAAAGCTATCTATCAATATAGTAATGAACAAGGAGCTTGCAAAAGCATGAGGATAAAACTAGAGCCAGTAGCTCCTTCGAGAGAACTCTATAAACTTTCTTCCTCTAAAAGAACTACCCAGCATTACTAAACCTCCTCCTGATGTACATCCAGCCTTTCCCCTACATGACAAGCATGGCATATCAGCTAGCTAATTAATTTCCTCTTACTCATTGTGCTTCCTTTTGTTATAAACCTCAAGATCCGCTGAATTCCTTTTGGTCTTAGATCCAGCAATTAACCCTTGCCCCTGTTCAGTCCCAATGGCTTAGGTCCAAGATCCAGGTTATCATCATCACAGTTTATAATTGAGTGCTAGCAGCACAGACCAGTTATAACATGAAGAAGCTCTGACTCTGGCACAAAAATGACGCAAGCACTGGGACACGGCCAACATCCAAAATATAGAACATGGGGACACTCATATCTTATGTATACAAATATACAACACGAAAAAAATCCAAAATTGAGAATTAAAATTTGTATAAATCACATTCTAAAATCAAGTTGTCCATTTTCATATAATAGTGACATGGAAACACTCACCACTTAGATATACAAATATAAACGAGATGACAAAAGTATAAATTGAGAAATAAAATTTATATAAATCAAATTCAAAAATCAAAAATGACCAATTTCCATATAATAGTGACCCTCACAAATACAATATTAAGAAACATATCTCTTATAACTTAAAACAACTAGTCATGTCCTATGGAAACAAGCCTCAAAAGAACTTTATGAGCCTTAACTTTATTTCCTTTTATTTCTTTTAACTTTACCGATATAAGTTTCTAAGAAGCATTTAGCCAATAATAGATGTCAGCTCACTCTCTTTACTTGTGTTCAACTGAGTTGGAAAGGAGGCCAAACTGTGTCAAAAAGGTGTCTGAGCTGGAAAAAGGTTAATAGCGACACAGATGAGGAGTGTCAAAGTCTGTCTAACAGGTATAGTGTCTGAAAAGTACGACAGGTTCCACAGGGGTATTAGTGCTTCCTAGATTTTAATTGTCACAGACAACACCAATTGATTATTTTCTGTAACATCCTAACTTACGGCCAAGACACAGGCACATTAAGCATGTGCAGTGATAATAACTAGAGTATGCTCTCTCAGATAGCAAATGCTTTGATTTTTTTTATGCTTAATATGTTCTCAGTTACAAATACCAAATTCTATTTGTTTATGTTCCAGTCAGCAGGAGTAAAAAATGACTGAAAGTTAAATAGGAACTAATTTGGAAAAATGGCATGTTTAGAGACAAAAAATATATTCAAGGAAAAATATTAAAAAAGCAAAAGATATTCAGTCCTTCTGACCTGTGGCATTTTAATGAGGTCAGAGCACCTAAATCCGTTATCCATTTAAAGCAAATAATAAAATTATTAGAATTTGGCTTAAGGCCTAACTCAGCTAATGTTATGAATAGTTAATAACAGCGTGAGCCAGCCAAAACTCTGGCATATAAATATTATGGATGCCACGGCTTCCTATGGCGGAAATTCATGGCAGACAAAAAAACACAAGGTGATTCCATTGTTTCGACAATCTTTGACAACAATTCCACCTTGGCACAATCTTGTATGGGCTTTAAATTGGACATGGGGAGCATAATTTTGAAATCGTGCAATTTCACATTTTTTTATCATGATTTTGACTACCTTGTCTAATTCCATCAAAGTGTTATACTTAAAGTTGAACTTATCCCGATAAAATGGACTTGTTAGAGGAGGATTGCCCGAGCTTTATAAGCTCTATTTGAGCCATGTCTCTAGTTGATGAGAGACTAAATACCAACATAAAATTTCAATTTAGGGCAGTCTCAAAAGAGGCTGCAATTACAGCGAGCTAGGAATAACTACAATTAAGAAGGCTTTCCAACAAAAACCTAATTAATTTTAACCAAGGGGCAACCCATAACCAGGTGTTTAAGGGGGGAGCAAAACAGTTCCATAATCCAGATCTACTTTTAGTGCCAAGCCATGCAACCCATTCACATGGCGAAAAGCATGCCAAAATCTAGAGAATGCAATCTCACCATGCCAAGATGAGATGGTTTGCATGGTTGGCCTCCTTCTACACATAATGCGCACTATTAGGACCTCAGCCAACAAACATCCCACAATGCCATAATCTCATACCCCCACAGAAGCCTCGTCCAACACTATACAAATGCAACCTCATATATGACTCCCAAAAACCACTAACGTAAAACCTTCCAGTTCTCCCCTCTGTCTAGTCTAACATTAGCTTTTCTGGACGGGTAAACATCGACGATTCACTCTAGCCATCACAACCAGAAAGGAGGAGTTTTGGTCACAAGGCAACTTACCCAGCAAACCCAAAACCTAGTCCAGGCATAGGTTAAGGGCAAGAAGCACTAACAGCCCAAACGTACATAATACAATTAGGTTACATGATGGTTTGACTCCATTTAACAAATGATAAAAAGAACCCCATCTTGTATCCTCACATTCACACATAGAAAACGGCGAGATCATTCAAAAGAGGAGAGGACAACAAGAAAGCTTTAATTTCCCGTTCCTTACTGTTCATTTTTCACGAGTGAACCCTAATATGCTTTTCAAATCCAAAGAAACTGCAACATAACGAAAAAGACCCACAAAACATATACAATACCAATTCAAAATGACCCAGATAAGTCAAGAAAACTAAAATTCTCCGTTTAATTTGTACAAAATGAGAGAAAGTGTTTAGTTTGAAAACGAGCAAAAACAGAAACATATGAGCGACAACCAAATTGGATGGCATTCCAAAAGGGTTTGAATAAACCAATTGATAAAAGTGAAATTAGGAGGGAAATAATGACGAAAAATGAAGTGAATTGGAAAGAAAATAGGGAAAGTGATAGATCGATCAAACGCGACAAACAAGAAAAGGGAAATGGAAAAAGAAAGAAAGAAAATCACAGCGACTTACAGATTGTAGAGCGACCAGGTGGAGAACCCTCGTCTTCCCAGAATCGGATGCAAGGTTTGTCACCTTCGATTTTCTCTCGCGCACTCGCAGGTTGCAAGAACCCCAAGCTCGACGGTTCTTTGTTTCCCCCCACACTTCTTTTTCCTTCGTGTTTGTTTTTTTGGCTCTCTCACCCTCAGAGCATAATAATATGGATTATTTTACACAAATTGTCCAATAATCATCAAAGACATTAATTGGAATATAGTTACTTTTTAAACTATTCAATTACAATGTAATTAATGTTTTCGAAAAACATTAATTGTTCTAATAATTATTTTTTGTCACTGGTTTCAATATATAAATTATAAAATATAATCAATTTCCTGAAATTAATAAAACATAATAATCATTATAACAATTTTATAATTCTGTTAAATTACTTAGACAAATGTACATGGTTATTATTATTTAATTAGTTTTGATAAAAATAAAAAATAAACAATCGCATTAAT